GTGGAAGGCGCACCCAACAGTTGCCAAACGCAAATTGGTCTGCTCAGCAAGGGTGGAACTGAATCTCCTGCTAAATGACAGAACCGAAAAGCAATTGAGATGGTCTAAACAAAACTTCTATGCTAGAGCCAACAAATCTGGCTCTATGCTTACAAACCTATTACACCCAAAACCTAAGGGAGTGCGCCCAATCCGGCTCCGGCTCGCGGATGGTTCCAGCTCTGTGAACCCAGCTACTATAGTGTCCAAATTCGGCTCCATCCTAGCAGGACTCTATAGCAAACCCCCAATATTCAAAAGCGGCTGATAACTTCTTTGAAGATATCCAGCTCACGACCCTCAGCAATTCCATGAAGGAGAAGATGGAGGCAGACATCTCTCTGCAGGAGGTACAAATGGCCATAAAAACACTAAAATCCCAGAAATCCCCAGGCCCAGACGGCTTCTCTGCTCTATACTATAAAAAATACTCGAACATATTAGCCCCCTACCTGACAGACGTCTTCAATCACCTGAAATTAGGCCCGAAACTGAACCCCACCTCTCTCCTAGCACAAATAGTCATGATACCCAAACCTGACACAGACGATTTGGACCCCCACAATTACAGACCTATCTCACTATTGAATATAGACACAAAGATCCTCTCAAAAATCCTAGCCACCAGAATTAACACCTTCTTGGAAAACCTAATCCACAGAGACCAAGTAGGCTTCACCCCCCGGCGCCAAGCTTCTGATGCCACGAGGAAAATCATACAATTGATCCACTATATGCGAAATTCAGACACTAGAGGTATGCTACTGTCGTTAGACATTCATAAAGCCTTTGACTCACTATCCTGGGACTACCTATATTACACACTGGGAAAGTGGGGCTTCCCAGAAACCTTTACGCAAAGGCTTAGAGCTCTGTACGATAGCCCAACGGCATCAGTCAGGTACCTACAGCACACATCCCCCCACTTCCCGATTCTGGGTGGTACCAGACAGGGTTGCCCCCTATCCCCCATCCTTTTTGTCCTGGCCATTGAGCCCTTGGCTCAATCGTTAAGGCAAAACCCCGACATACAGGGCATCTCGGTGGGGGGACAGAACTACAAGGTAAACCTCTTCGCGGACGATTTGCTTCTCTCCATATCCCAACCGCACACAACCCTACCAAACCTAATGACCACCCTAAACAAATTTTCCCACATTTCCTGTCTCACTATCAATAAAGACAAATCGCAAGCTTTCAATATTAATTTAGCGCCAGCTACGGTAGACTCCATTCGCGACAACTTCCCCTTCACCTGGCGGAATGACCAGCTTGGCTACCTGGGTATTAATCTAACACGGACTTATGACTCATTATACACAGCCAACTACACCCCGCTATTTAAACTGGCTAGGGATTTACTATCTACCTGGTCCCACCACTACCTTTCCTGGATGGGGAGAGTAAACTCTGTTAAAATGGTCCTCCTCCCTAAATTGTTATACAACTTCCGCACGCTACCTATCGCAATACCAGGCCACGCCATGCGAGCCCTCCAAAACCAAATTATTAAATTTATATGGCACAACAAACGCCCACGGATCCCTAAAAGCACTATTTGCACCCATAAACGACAGGGAGGGCTGGAACTGCCAAACCTTAGTAGGTACTTCCAGGCAGCGCAAATAGCGCCCATTACAAGCCTATTCCTAACCTCCCAAGCACCTTTGTGGGCTGAGATGGAGAGGACACTGTGCTTACCTATAGCAATAAGGGCATTACCCTGGCTTCCACCATCTGAGCGCCCCAGTACCATGAGCCCCGCAATGCGCCTAACCCTAAAAATCTGGGACAGCACCAAATATTACAGTAAACTGATATCACCACACCTACCACTGCTTCCCGTTGTGGGCAACCCAATGTTCCCGCCGGGCCTGGACTCACCTGCGGCGTTCACGTGGTGGACCACACACAACATCTCATACTTACATGACCTCCTCGAAAGAGACAACATTCGCAGCTGGCCCTCCATCCAGGAAACCTTGCAAGCCCCAGCTGCGGAATTCTTTCGTTACCTACAGCTAAGACACTGGGCATCCATCCACATTACACGTAGAGCGCCAGCTTCAACCATGTCAGTCTTTGAACATATATGCTACCACACCCCGGCACAGCCAAAACTGATCTCTATACTCTATGCCCAACTTAACTCTATCTCATCCCGTTTGAATCATGGTTATGTCTCAAAATGAGCGCGAGAATTGGGAACCCCCAAAACAGAGGCAGAATGGCAACAGATCTGGACCGCGGCCGCAACATGCACAATTAATGTCACGTCCATGGAAACGGCGTACAAGTCCATGATGAGATGGTACATGGTTCCGGCTAGATTAGCGCATGCGGGTCCTGGTCGGTCAGCCTCCTGCTTCCGGGGCTGCTCAACAGTTGGGGATGTCTTGCACACCTGGTGGGCCTGCCCAATGCTCAGCAGATTCTGGGCACGCACGTTCCGTCTTCTACGGAATATTTTCCAGACTCAACTACCCAAGGACCCGTGGTTTGCACTCCTGCGTCTTAAACCAGCAGCCCTCACTAAACCACAACACAAACTTGCAGTATATATATTGCTCGCTGCTAAACAGGCCATAGCTCAGGCATGGAGAAAGCAATTTGTGCCCTTTGCAGAGGTGCGACGCAGGATAGACTTTTTTTTTATTAACGAGAAACTGTCTAGCATCCTACTAGATACACAAAAAAGCTTCCAGAAAACATGGGATCCTTGGGTACAATATGCCCATCCAGACCTGCCACGGGAGAGCCTGACAGCCATCTGACCGACCAGGGCCCTGGGGGGCATGGCGTGCGGGACGTCCAACACCACACCTTTTTCCCTCCTCCTATTCCTCTCCTACTGGAGAACTATCTCTTCACTTCTTCTCTTTATGTCGTTTACTCTCTCTTCTACCCTAGATAGCCTAATGAAACTCGAGGGCCAAGTCCGGGAGATACCACCCATTAGGTGAAGGTCACATAGACCGGATTCTCTGGCCTGTACATTACTAGTCATAATGCCATATCTTAACGAGCTAGGTGATTGTCATAATGTGCTCTCCTAAATTTAGTACTATTTTTGCTCTTCATTTTATCGTCTTATGTGTTGCATTGTTTATTATACGGATCCCGCGATCCCTACATGTTTGTAAGCATTGAAAACTCTAGCTATGCTCAGTATGATGTTACGATGTACGTTCTAAATTGTTATCTTGAAAATACAATAAAAACTTTGTGAAAGAAAAAGCCCCTTTTAAAGGAGAACTATGAGGCGAGTGAAAATCACTCAGCCTCATAGTTCTAGCCGACCTGTGACAATGAAACTGTCACAGGGGGGCTCAATAGATCGGGAAGTGAGCGAACACATACCGTCGCTCGCTCACTTCTCGATCCTGTCCCTGCAGAGAGCTGTGACTGTCACTCACGGCGCCCTGCAGGGATTCCCCCGCCTCCCATGTCCGCTCCTCCAGCGCTGACTGGCGGAACGGACGGGGGATGGGGCGGGTACAGCTGGCTCTGCCTCTAGATAGGCAGAGCCAGCTGTCACTCACGCAGCTGGGTGAATGCAGACAGTAATGTCAGGATCCGTCACGGCTGCGGCGTCTCAGTATACTGCGAGCTGTATCTCGCGGTATACTGATCTTTGGGTGACGGGAGGACACTAGTTTGTGTCCTCCCGTTACCCTTAGGATAACTATGGGTAAAAGCCCTGACCCCATAGCTCTCCTTTAAAGTCTCAATTTGTTATATGGAGCTTGCAGCCAATCAGCTGCCTGCTCTATTCGGCTATTCTGATATTGGCCACCAGCCGGTGGCGACCAGTGAATGGCCAACTTTACAGCTTCTCTTAGTCCTCCTGCAAAGTCTCACAAATACCTGTTGATCCTGCCTGTGGAGTTCATCTAATGCAGCTTCCTGTGATGGTGTGGCAACAAAGCTGCACTGCTTCTGAATTCAGAGCAGAGTTGTCATTATCATGTAGTCTGTGCCTGCTTGCAGGACAGTGAAATGAGAAGACGTTGCAGGGGGCTTGGCTGTCAGCATTGTCACTGCATTGATCACAAGCCTGTAGCCTGTGAATCCGCAGCAGGACAAACCTAGTCCTGCCTACTACTTTCTAGGTTGACTGTTTTGCCTCTGTTAACCCTATTCTCCCAACATATGTGCTGCAGTATCTGGGATGGGAAGCATGGGAGACACCAATTAAGGAAAATCTGGCTCAGTTAAGGACAATAAAGTAAGTTTTTTGTTTATGAGGCTTGTGCATCACATAGTAAATGTATCTTGGTTATACTGTCATAGAGGAGTCTTTAGTTGTACTTTAATACATCACTGCATGCAATTGTGTTTTTTATATTTGCCTGGAGTTAACATTTCTTTCTATTAGGAAACATTGTAGAACCACCTGTTAGATTCCTAAAAAACTAATTAAGTAATTCAAGGTCAACTCCAGCCAAAGTTTTCTTCTAGTTTTGGATAGAGTGGGGAAAGGTTTGGCCACTCCTGTGGCTTACATGCCTTTATCACATTCTATAGCCAGGAAGATCAGTCTTCTTGCTTTTTTTTTCTTTCTTCATCAACTCCCTGCTAATTGGACAGAGCTGATGATGCTGATTCATTCCAGTAAACAGGCTTGTGGTGAGGAGTTACATAATAAACTGTATTGCAAAACCTGGAAAAATATGTGTCACCTGCCTGGTTGTGCAGTGTGGCTCATATGCAATAATCACAAGACTGTCAATTGAATGGGATCCTTTCAGAATGCAATGCATAGCAAGTGAAAATATGCAGTATGGTGTAAGTGAGCCCTACACCAAAGTGATTTTATGCAATAGGCGCCATATCACCCATTGGTGCAGCCATTTTGTGAGTTTGATGAATATTTAAAACAAAGCCTTGCGGAATTAGTGAACTGAATTATAGTTGCCTTCTACCGTACTTATATGTCCTTCGATTTCTTTCTTTCTTAGGTTACGAAGAAACAGTTCTTCGGATAAACTGGTCAGAGAAGCACGAGATAAAAGCAAAAAGCTGGAAAAAAAATCTGTCTCATCTGCAAATCTTATTAATGGTGAGAGGGGGAATTAAAAGATAAAAACTGCTCAGATGTATCCTTCCTCTTTTGCCTTGTGTTTGGCCACCAATTCTTGATCTAAAACTTGCAAGTTATTAAACTTGGCAGAGTATCTCTTGCAGTAATCAGACTGCGGGAACTCAGAGTCTCAACCAATGGTATGTACCCCGGGGTACTTCTGACACACTGGGAATATTTGTTAGGATGACAACTGTATAAGAAGAGACTTCTTGTCACTTTGGAGAGATTTCCTCTCTCTTTCTGTTGTGCCTCTGCACAAGGAAGTAAAGGGAAATCTCTTCAGCAAGACAGAGCCAGCAAAAGAAACTGACAGGGGTTTTAAAGTTTAAAAATTTCTGTAAGTGACTGTCCCATGACTAGAGCTATCATGGTTCCCTACTTCTATACCCATCCACACCATCTATTCTCCACTCCCATGAGCCTCCCACTGCCAGTTCCTTCTCAGGACATTCTCACTGATGTATGTGAACTTATCCAGACCCATTTGTCACGAAGGCACATAAACCGCACGTTACCTCTTTAAATTGATTATTTCCCCTAAACTGATCCAAGAAAAAATCATACAACTACAAATATAATGCAAATGCAAATGCAATTCCAATATGGCACCAACTAGTCTAAATGGCAGTGTGTAACTAGGACCAGAATGCTTTTAAGCTAGTTATCACAAAGCAAAGATCACCTTGGTGGTCCACTAAATCAAGCCTTCTTAGGCTCCATTCACATATAGCGTTTGAGTTTCCCGTGCAGTTTTCCATGCAGAAGACCGCACGGGACGCAAACGCTATATGTGAAACAACTGCACGGATTCCACTCTATTATTGCGCTTGCACTATTTTGGGGGCCTCGCAATTTTGTACTACGCGGTCCCCGCAATAGTCCCAACAATGCACATTAAAGTGCATTTTTTTTTCTGTTTAGACCCCATTTTCAGCGCTGATTTGACCTGAGCGACATTGACCTACAGTGCGCATTTAGTCGCACTACGTAGCGCTTCTTTTGGCCAAATTGCACAAAATCCGCTGGAAAAATAGGTCATGTTTGAGCGACAAGCTTGAGCTACAGGCTACAGGTGACATTGAGCTGTGAAATGTGAACAGCTCCATTGAAATGCATTGGACGAGCTACATTGAACGAATTTTGAGCGATATTTGAGCGATTTTTGAGCAGAAATCGCGCTACAAATCGCTCAGTGTGAATGGGCTCATACAGCTGAATACGTGCGGACAGCCACTCCAGTGTGAATGGAGCCTTAGAGACTTACATGGTTTGAGTGACACCAGCTGTAATTTTATGGGGGCATTGGCTACTTGTTTTGTATTTATGTTATGTTCATAGCTAAAAAAAAAAAATCTTCTTGATGTAATGTTCTTTAATATTTATTGAATTTCATTAATTTATTGTAGCTTCCGCCGGGTCTAGAAGAGGAAATTATAATTTGGGTGAGCATTGAATATCTCATTGTTTTTATATTTTAACAAATTTAGGGCCTTCTTCAATGAATGCATCATCTGAACGTTTTATCTGTTAGGTTCTCAAAATGCAGAGTGGTTTCTCTGATTAGATTTGCTTTTTTACTACTGTCATTTCTGAAAGCAGAATGTAAGTACAGTATAAACAATGGGTGTCCTACCATTCAATCAAGTGCTGCAGTTTGGAAGCATTGCATAAGTAGATGAAATATGTAAACTCAAGGTATTGGCCTTTGACTCATGGTTCTTGCTCTAGATACAAACTTTTATATCCTGTGTCTTAAAGCAGTCTAGAAGATATGTTGTCCGCACACCATTCTGCTTTCAAATATCATCGTTACTAAGATTGTGTTAAAGCAGAATTAGAAGAAAATCAGATCTTAACCCTTTCAGTGGGGCTACCCCCGCACTGTAAAGGTTAAGTGCTCCTTTTGTCTAAGGAGCTAAAATAACAGAGATATACTCTCCCGAACAGCAATCCCAGCTGCCTCCTAGACCAGTCCCTTCAGCCATGCTCCCCCTCTGCTCCAGTGGTGTAAGGTCCTGTTAGTCATCACATCAAGAGATGTGGGACGCTAAGGGACATACCATCGCTGGAGCAGAGAAGGAGACAGGCTGCATGGAGCGGTGTATAAGCAAGCTCTGATCGTGGTTCGGGTCAAACTTTGTATAGCTTTGTCTAACTTCTGCATGTAACTGTTTTTTTAGCTCCCTAGACAAAACGAGCACTTAACCCTTGCAGTGCAGCTGTAGTCCCACTGCAAGAGTTAAGATTTGATTTGCCCGGAATACTGCTTTAAGAGAAGGTTCTGGAGCCATTCAATTCATTCTTTCTTATAACCTTCTGTAATTTTAAAACATGTATGGCTAGCCTTATTCTTATATAGTAGCCAAACACACACAGATATACATCCCAACTGTCCCTTATTTGGACAGACTATTCCTCTTTTGAAACCAATTTCCTCTGTCCCTTTTTCCGCCTCAGTTGTCCCTCTTTATGGACAGATGTCTAGACCTGTAAAAAAAAATGCAATACTTAACTACCAAAAGCATTACACTACAATACACTCACACAAACCTTTTCATTATTACATTACTATTTTAAAAATAAGTATAAAGGAAACATAGGGGTCTATTCACGAAGCAGCCGAAGGATCTAGCCGTAGCTTCGGCCGATCCTTTGGCTAGCTTCGGGCCCAGGACCCCTTCGGTTCAGTACAACCCAAGGGCTGCTGTACGGGCTATTCACTCACTGCTGTTCGGCATCTATAAGAATAGACCGAACAGCAGTGAGTAGCCTGTCGGAGGTTCGGCTTAGCCGATCCAGATGTTGGATCGGCTAAGTCGAACTTCTTCTGCACTTCGGGTCGACCGAACATGCTGAGCATGTTCAGCCGACCCGAAGCCACATGCAGCCACCCGATGTACGGCTGATTTCACCGATATATGGCTGAAATCAGCCGTATAAACCTGAAGTGAATAGCCGAACAATGTTCGGCTCACTTCACTTCAGGTCGGTCTTTCACTCGGCTGCCTACGGCACCTTAGTGAATAGACCCCATAGTGATGAAAAAGGACTTGTGGATTTTTGGCTTATTAACTCTTCATGGTCTACATACAGTAACTGGGTGAATGACAGGTGGTGTGTCCTTTGCCTACACACGTCATGCTAAAGTAGGGTATACATGGGTAGATTTTTGCACAAACATTCGTACGAAAAATCCCATCGGATGCTGTCGGTTTGATACTGGCATCAGAAACTTGCCAATTGTCGTTCGAAATTTTGTTCCATTTGCATTTTTACTTCACATTCTATTTTGGAATGAATGGAGTTTCCGGACGAAAACCACATTCACTGTTAGAAATTCGTTCAATCGAGAAACATTTTCCAACTTGCCTCTGAAAATCTTTGGGAACATTGTCATTTTCATCTGTGGTTTGCACCATACTAATTGATAGATATTTGTTCTGAGAATGACTTCTTTCCTACAAAATTCTAACTCTGTATACCCTCCTAAAGGGGTGTCCCTCTTTGTATCTAAGTAAGTTAGGAGGTATGTACATACATGCAGATATGCACACTCATAGATATGTTCTATAATACAATGATGGATAGGAATTTACAGGTGACATCAGCAGAGTCAGCTCACTGACCCTCTTGGTCATACCTTGCCACTGAGATCCTGTTTGTAACTGCAGTATCTTATAGTAAAGTATATGGATCACTTTACCACTTGAACATTCACCTCTACAGTACTCCACTTTTTGGTTTGTACATTACTACATTCTAAGCTCAGAAAGGTTAAAACAAAACCTTGACTGTGCTACTGATAAATGTACTATATACATGGAGTTCTCTTTCTGTGTTATTTTTTTTCTTGTACTTGTAAAGCGCTGCGCAAACTGTTGGCGCTATATAAATCCTGTATAATAATGATAATAATTATGATACTTTGCTATAGAATTATTTTTCTATTAAAATATATGTTGTGCTTTTTCTTAGAGGGGGTCAGTGTTAAAGTTTTTCTCCGTGGTCGCCCAATCACAATGTATATCCCATCCAACATACAGAACCATGATGACCAGAAGCCGGAACTTCCAAGTGAGAAGCTCCAGTTGGAATGGGTGTATCCTAATTGTTTTGTGGTTTCTACACCAACCTATACAGTATATTTGCAGATTTTCCTCTATGTCAGTTTCACCATAGTAGGGTAATACCCTATTTTGACCTACTTGATTTTCCTTGACGCCTTTAACTTTAGCTATGGTTGTCGTGGACGTGATTCTCGATGCACCCTGCGTATGCTGAAGTCTGGAGAGGTGCTCTACTTTACTGCCTGTGTTATTGTCATGTGTGATGTACACCGTGGAACCCAACGCCATTTTCTGAGGCACACAGACTGTGTACGCTGGTAGGTCAGAAAGAACCTAACATTAGAAATGTTAAAGAAAATGGCAATTTTTTTTGCTGACATTGGGGGGGAATTTATCAAAACTGAAGCAGACAGAATATGAAGCAGTTGTCCATGGCAACCAATCAGCATCTCTATTCAGTTTGCTCAGGTAAGATTTGAAAATGAAAGAGAGAAGCTGATTGGTTGCAGTGCAAATCTGCTCCAGATTTTGTCTGCTCCAGTTTTGATAAATCCCCCCCATTCGTTTAAGAAATCACTTTACACCCAGTATGTCAAACATAATAGAAAACCTTATAGGATGTTCAGCATAAAATATTATGGGATAGCAGCTTCTGAACACTTTTAGTGGAAGGGTCCCTCACTTCTACAGGGACTAGCTTTTTTAGAGGGAATTTGTGTGTTGAATTGATGGGCAGTTCACCTTTAAATATGTTATTTTAAAATCAAAATCTCTGAAGCTTACACCAGTAGAATTACGTTTGATAACATTTATTTTTGGAATGTTTGTTCAATTTTCTAAAAGGTCATGGCATCAAATTGAAGATCCTTTTTGACTATAGTGCTGAAAATATCACCCGCAGGATAGACATTTTTTCTTTAACAAACTAAATCCTAACACTGCATGTGGTTTTCTTCCAGGAAACTCCATTCATTCCAAAAACAAATGTTAAAATCAAACGAAATTTGAACAACCTTTGGCAAGTCTCTGACGGCATTATCGAATACTCTGACAAGATTTTTCTTTGTATGAATTAAAAATGTACCATTGTATGGCCATCTTAAAGAAGAACTCTGGGCAGAAATAATCTTATAGCCTCACTGCAAGGTTTAAGTGCTTGAGAATAACTCACCTAAACTAAAAAGCCGGCTGGCTTCTAGATCTAAGTTTGCTCTAGCCATCTAGGGTCCTGTGAGTCATCATGTCCTATACAGTGTATAAGATGTGAGAACGCTGAGGGACATTACACTGCTGAAGTGGAGGAGGAGAGATGCTGCAGGGACCAGTCTAGTAGCCAGCCGGCTCTGAGGTTTAGGTGAGTATATTTTTGTTATTTTCATCCCTAGATAAAAACAAGCACTTAACCTTTGCAGCCCCACTGCAAGGATTAAGATTCTTTCTGCCTGGAATCCTTCTTTAAGTCTTTTGAATATGATTATAATGTGTAGTTGTGTTATCAGCCCTAAATATCTACCTGCCTTTAGCTCACTTGACTCCTGCATTAATAATGTCAGCCATGGCAAAATAAAAAAACAAACATTTTCAGTATGTCTATGCAATATGTGCACATGTCCCGATGATTTGTCCCTGAAATTCAGAAATCCAGTGAACTACTAACTCCTTTTGGAGCTGACAAGTTGAGATGAGCTCAGGTTGGGCCAAAACTGAGCTCCTCTCAATACGGAGATGCCACGGGCTACCCACTCAATCAGGTGCAGGCTGGGGCATTCCCTACACACATGTATGATGCTAGTGTCAATATCATTAAAGGAGAACTATGGGGTCAGTGTTTTTCCCCATAGTTCTCCTTAATGTAACGGGAGGACACAAGCTAGCGTCCTCCCGTTACCCTAAGCTCAGTATATCGCGAGCTACAGCTCACGGTATACTGAGACGCCGCAGCCGGATCGGATCTCGACATCGATGTGAAAAGCACTCACCTCATAGTTCTCCTTTAACCTTATAAGGGAACATGGCCATATTAGGTTAATGTCCGTGACCAAATATAGCCACGTGGCCATATAAGGTCAATGACTTCACTGCATCCTTCCCATTTCTTTTACGAGCGGCGGCGGGCAGGGAATTCCCTGGCAGCTGCTGATTGGGCAGCAGTAGAAAGAGATTCCTTCTGTGTTTGGAGGAGCTCCTTCCGGCTTCAAACCTGAACTCACTCCTACTGGCAGCTGTGCTTCTGCTACACTAAAATCCCAAGCAGTGTTAGCAGCCCTGCCCAGTTCTTTTCCCCTCAACATGTATTTTATTGTACTTGCAGCTTAAATGGATAAAACATGGTGAGAGGTGCATGTATTGCAGAGTGCTAGACAGATTTGTTTATATTTTGTCCAGGCATATACTTTCAATGAAAATTTGTAGACTTTACTACTCTTCTCTTCACTCCATTTGTACTCTTTCCTCACACAGTTTAGCTGTTCACCCGGATGGGGTCAGAGTGGCCTCTGGACAAACAGCTGGTGTAGACAAGGATGGTAAGGTGAGTAAATAGAAGCATACATAATCTGTATCTACTTTCTTTCTATGCTATACTTATGTTAAAAGAGGAAAACAGGAAGTAAAAATGAGTTTTAGTTTCAACCTGATACAGAGATTGCATGTTCAAAATAATAATATAGAAGGTTCAGTAATTTAGGAGGGAAGCATGATAAATAGCGGTGTTGTATTTAACCACTTCAAGACCAGGTGTTTAGACCCCCTTCCCGGCCAGGCCATTTTTCAGTATTCAGCGATGCGGTACTTTTGAGTGACATTTATTCTGTCATGCAACGCTGTACTGGAATTAATTTTATACAATTTTTTGGGGACAGATAGAGCTTTATTTTGGTGGCATTTAACCCCTTCATGACTGAGCTAGTTTTCAGGTTCTGTTCATAAATGACTGACACATTTTTTACATTTTTGCTGTGTGATTCTTCCACAGCAGTAATATACTTTCTTACTAAATGTACCCACACATATTATATATAGTTTTTTAGAGGACAGATAGGGCTATATAATTATATCACATATGTGTACCTAGCCCCTCACTTAGTTTGAATAAAATAAAAAAAATGAGGAAAAAAACTAGAAGAAAACACTTTTTTCACAAGTTTTGATTATTATTATTTTTTTTTTGAATTTTTTTATATTAATTATAGTATAAAAAATATATTTATATATAATTTATATTTTCCTAATTTTGTTTTACACTTTATTTTTATTTTTTTACACTGTAAAAAATAAAAAAAATAAAAACTTTTTTTTTCTTGTCAGTTTATATCAAGCAATCACTATGACAGCTTGATAAATTAACTTTTTTATTTTATTTTTGGCTATTAGGCTGATCCAAACTTAGGAACAGCTAATAATAACCTTAGAGACTGATCCTGACTTTAGTCAGATTCAGATCTCACTAAAAGCTCTTTGATCGTGCCTAGACGATCAGAAATGATACATTTCACTCAAAAGAGATACATTGTATTCTTTCAGTGAAATGTATCTAAACATCGGGCTCTCGAACTGTCAAAACAAATAGCAGAGAGGTGAGGTGAGTCACTGCTGCCTCTCTGCTATTTTGAGCTGTCAAATACGGGATCGCAAATTGCGGTCCTCTATTTGCATGTAACGGCTTCATTCTTTCATTAATGAAAGGAAGAAGCTTTTACAAAAAGCTTAATTATTTCATTAATTAATGCCTCAATACTGAGACATTAATGAATGACTGTTAAATGCTGAGAATCAGCAAATACCGGCATTACAAAGCCTGATATAACTCGTCACGTACAGTGTACGTGGCCAGTCATATAGGCACAAAGTGACAGGACGTACACTGTACGTCTCCCGTCACGAAGGGGTTAATCACCACTGGGGATTTTATTTTATACTATATTAATGAACAATTGAAAATTTTGAAAAAAAAAAGGTTTTCCCCCATTATATTAGGAAACAATGATTATTACCCATATTTTTGGTAAAATATAAAAGACGGGGTCACGTCGGGTAAATAGACACCAAACATGTCAAGCTTTAAAATTGCGCGCACCCGCGAAATCGCAGAAAACTACCATACCCAAAATTGACCATAGGCAACACTTTAAAAGCTTTTACCGCTCATCAGTTTAGTATTCAGTGATTGATGGCTCTAGAATTATTGCTCTCATTCCGTCGTTTGCGACGATATGTAACATGTGCTGCGTAATGGGCGCAATCGTCGTTTTCTCACGTATGCACCGCCGACGCCTGTTTGCATGCGTGTATGTATGGGGGGGAGGGGGGGATTTGTTTAAAAAAATAGTTTTTTTTAATTCTTTTTTATGTGTAACTTTACATTTTTTGGGGGGAAAGTTTATTTATTTTTTCCTATTTTTTTTTTCACTTAACTTTATTGCTCTCACATAGAGGGCTAAGAAAACCCCCCTATGTGATAGCAAAAGATGTGACAGGTCCTCTTTTTGGAGAAAGCCGCGGAGGGGGCACACATACCGGGACCTCATACAAGCGATCCGCCAGCTCTATAGCCGGCGGATCGCTTGTATGTTAGCAGGCATCGCTGCCTGATTTTAAATATCGGGCATCTCCCGCTCGCGCGTGTCGCTGAGGGGGTGTGGCTATGCGGACGTCTAAAGACGCCCGCTCAGATCTAGAGAGCTCCTGGCCGGCCGTTTTTTTACAAAGGCCGGCCGGGAAGTAGTTAAAATAAAAAAGCTCTTTCTCACCGCCATGCCTAAAACCTCCCCATCATTGCAGGGATAATATAGAAGGTCCAGTAATTTAGGTGGGAAGCATGATAAATAGCGGTGTTGTATTTAAAATAAAACGCTCTTTCTCACCACCATGCCTAAAACCTCCCCACCATTGTGGGGATCTTATAGAAGGTTCAGCAATTTAGGCAGGAAGCATGATAAACAGCTGTTTTGTATTTAAAATAAAACGCTCTTTCTCACCACCATGCCTAAAACCACCCCATGTCGCATACCTCCCCATATGTGCTGTAACCACCTCAGCTCATTCCCATACCCTTCCGCCCATACCACGCCTGCACACCAACCCCCACTTTTACCACTGCATATGACCCCATCCTCTCCCTCCTATGCCCCCACTTCCTTCACCAGTGCACCAATGCCCTGCCCTCTTCTCACTGCCACGGCACTGATGCATGCCATACCACTCGCTGCCACTGAACCAGTGTGCACTTCTGTGCTTTCTGCCCCTTCAGTGATGTGCCATTTAATGAATGAGCCACTTTTGCTAGTTAAAATAAATAGAAAAACAGTTCACAGTTCAAAAACAGTCTTCAATAGAATGGAGAAGGATTAGAATATTTGTCATGTTTTTATAGTTGGTGTCTCCAGTGGGCTGATATAGCCTCACTTTTCTCTCTTTGTCATTGGTACAGCAAGTGAGGAGAAATCTGGAGACAAACAGCAATAAAAATGATCTTTTTAGCTATGAAGTGAAAAGCTACAGTCTTTATCAGGTTTTATTGCTGTTTGTGTGCTCATTAGGGAGATTGTCTTTCTCTTTCTATCTTGGTCACATCCTGTGTGCCAGTGTGTGCCTGGTGTGACCGCTAAATAAGGGGAAATCATAGTGGCATTAATACTGATTACAATAATTCTGTCAGAAATTGAGAAACGTTTGACCAGAGTTGGACTTTATAAGCTGAATCACACTTAATATTGCAGTAATGCATATGGTACTGCAATGTAAAAATAACATGTATTGCACATTCCCTAACTCATGGTAATGCATGGTAGTGCATTTCGATACATTGTGTGTGTGATTATGTCTGATTTTGGACACGCTTGGGTAGGTTGGCAGTTCATCCAAAATTAATAGTCCAAGCTGCTATTTCTCTATCTCAGGTTCATAGAGGTCTGAAGAAAAATACCTGAAAACTGCAATCTAGAAGTAGGGTGCAATTGGTGGAAGTTCACAGAGACAGTATCACATGACACACACAATTGTTTACTAACTATAAGCACCAGGTCCACTTTAACTAAAAAAAGTAACTTGTCCAGTGGACCTATACTTATACTACTAAAAATAATGTATTCTGTTTTGAATTACATGTACCAGGCTTTATTTTATAGTCTGTCTTAGTTTTGTGTTCAGGACACAGATTGGTTTGGGCTAGAGTGTAAAGTGGTTTCTGTAATAACATTCTGGTTTCTAACTTGGAACTGTATGTGCTGCAGTGCTGGAGCTATTTTTGGAATTCTTTTAAACTGTGAGTGAGAGAAGGTAAATACAGCATCACTCCACTGCAGCTCATATTCCTTGTAAAAAATCCAACTTTACAGAAAGTAAGAGTTTGTTAAATTTCTGCGTATTGCTATGCATCTTAATTATATAACTGGCAGGAATCCCCACACCAAAAAGCTGAAGAATTTCATGCTGCTCTTGCTTCAGAGCAAATTACTTGATGGGGGGGTCTGTGTAGCCTGATATAAATATGACACCAGTGAAAACATTATGTGGAAATTGAATATTAACTAATTTGACTTACTAAAGGAATACTAAAGTGTTCTTTCACTTGCAGCAACAGTTGTATCTTGCAACATAGAAGTTAGGAAAATGTATTAGTATTTTTGGGAATATTATATTCTTTAAAAAGTTGCATGTATAAAATTTGGTAAGATTTTGGAAGGTGCAACACTGTATAGTTTTAATAATAATTTGGTTAAAGTTAAGCTTCAAGAAAAAGAACAATCCTCCCCTGCACTGCAAGGGTTAAATGTTCGCTTATGCTTAGGGTACCAGAAAAAAACATGCACTCTGACTTCATCAAGTACAATATAGGGTCAATAGCTCTGCATTGTATATGAGGATGTCAAGGGACTGCTCACATCCTGCAGTGTCAGGGAGAAGGTTTGAGTGCCAGCTGACGGGGGAGCAAGGGCAGTAAGTAAAAGTATTTTTCCTGGTACCCTAGAGCATGTCAATTTTGCAGTGCAGATGGGTAGGATCAGGGGTGTCCCTACACTTTTCGCTGCCTGAGGCTGGCTCTGAGGCTGGGGGGTAGTGGGGTGGAGGTGAGCGTTGCACGTTGCATAGTGCCGGCGGTGAATGTAGGCACGGGGTGCATGGTACCTCTGGCTCTGGATCTGTCGGGCATCCCGCCCAGTTCACCGATATCACTGATTGCCAGGAGATGGGTGTGACGGATGTGCCCCGTCTGAACCCACTGTATGTCCATAACACGTGACTATACGCAGTTCTGAAACGAGTCAGCTGCCACAAGGACATGGCGATACCACTCTCAGCTTACCCTGCACAGAGATTTTCCAGCTCATGGGACAACAATCTTGAGAGCGATCATCACTAGCGTTGGTTAACTCCGCAGTTAACCTTTTACACGCATACATTATCGCTGCCACCATATTTTAATGGAAACACTTACCTATCTCAGCAAGTGCTGTGACACTTCAAAAAAATTCAACAAAACCTATGATACCACTGTCCTCGCAGACAGGAATATGACAGGCCTCACTATACAGTAGCGCTCTTCAGCGAGGCACGGATACTTTAAGTTCTTATTTAGAGGCCAGCCCCCCCGCCCCCCCCCCCCCCCCCCCCCATGTGACCCAATGAGATGCCGCCTGAGGCAACCACCTCAAACTGCCTCATTGTAGGGACATCCCTGGGTAGGAGCCCCACTGCAAGGGAGGATTTTCCATTTCCCCAGAGTTCAGCTTTAAATTATCACCCCGAATGGAAACTGTTAGTAAACTTATTTCAACACCAGAGAAAAAAAGACTATCGATCCTGTCCCTGCTTTATACATGTTTTCCCTTCACAAATGTACTATTAATAAGTCCAGCCTCTTGTCTCAAATGAATGTTGCATAATGTAGATGATTGGTAATGCAGTCACAATATTAATAATTACTATGCTTTATATATGAAATCTCTTTGCAGCCTCTGGTGTTTATATGGGATTCTTCAACACTCCAGATACTGCATCAGATTGGTCTTGGTTTCTTTGAGAGGGGCGTAGGCTGTCTTGCCTTTTCCATACAGGTAGGTTTCTGCAATCACAAAACATCATATTCCAGTTCCAATTTTGTGGTACTTTTTTGAGTCCTGTTAAAAGCAGATTCCAGTTGTTTTTGATGTTTGACAAACAGAGCAAATATCCCATTACAATATTTGTGTTTATGAATTAATTCCATGATTGACCCCCTGCTTCTTCCATTCACCCCATATACTTGAAGTATCAGAGTGATTATTTGTATTTGACAAGCTCCAGCTCATAAAAATGGACCAGTGATTTTGGATGAGTTTCACAGATAATAGATTTTGGAGGTGGTCTGGTATGTTTTGTATCAGATTGATTTGATTAAAAAGTGGAACACCGGTTAGTGTAATGATATATTAGCATAAGTACCCTATAAGTCTTTATGGCATCTCCTTGTAATCCCCTGCACAGTATGATTCCAAATGGAAAATAGAATGCCAGCATTAGGGACCAATCAGGAACCCAGGTGCTGACTCATCCCACCATCCTCCACTTATAACTAAATGATCACTTAGTTGACCTTGTGGACTGGCCATTTAAGTAAAATGATCCATAATGCAAAGGTGCATAAGTGAGGGGTGCACTGTAAAGCTTAAAGGGTATTTCCACTTAGAATAGTTGGCAGTGAGCTGATACAGTATGGGACTGACTGAGGGATACATTCTTGTAAAGTTCATTAACATACAATGGGGGGAAATTCATAAGAACTGGAGCAGACAAAATCTGGAGCAGTTGCCCATGGCAACCAATCAGCTTGCTCTTTAATTTTCAAAGCCAAACTAAACAATCTGAAGAGAAAAGCTGATTGGTTTCCATGGGCAACTGCTCCAGATTCTCGCTGCTCCGGTTTTTATGCATTCCCCCAATGCCTTCAGATCTTTAACCCTATGTTAGGACAGATTGTCCTACTCATCTAGCTTAGAATTGATAACACAATCTGCCAGCATAGTACAGACAGGGTTAATTATTTGAAACAAAACTCCCCCCAACCCCCTAGACAGTGAGAACTAAGCACAACTTTTCAGTCCTGGAGTTTGCAGAAACATCATCGAAAGCTGCAATTTTAAAATATTTTGTATACGTTATCTTAATGGGAACATGTAACAAATATAAAATAGGTGTTATCACAATTGTGCTAAAAAAAATGGAAATACACTTTAAAGGAGAACTATGAGGTGAGTGCTTTTCACTCACCTCATAGTTCTAGCCGACCTGTGACAATGAGACTGTCACAGGTCGGCTCAGTAGATCGGGAGGTGAGCGAACACATACCGGCGTTCGCTCACTTCTCAAACCTGTCACGGCTGGATTCCCCCCTCCCCACTCCGATCCTCCAGCGCTGACTGGCGGAACGGACAGGGGAGGGGGCGGGTACAGCTGGCTCTGCCTCTAGATCGGCAGAGCCAGCTGTCACTCACAGCTGGTCGGATCCAGACATAATTGTTGGGATCCGCTTCAGCTGCGGCGTCTCAGTATACCACGAGCTGTAGTTCGCGGTATACTGAGCTTTGGGTGACGGGAGGACGCTAGTTTGTGTCCTTAGGAGAACTATGGGGGAAAGCCCTAACCCCATAGTTCTCCTTTAAGTTTAACATATAAAATACTGGATTGCAGGAATATATTCACTTATTCTGGATGCCAGGTATAAGTAATTCTGTATGGGCCAATGAAGATTTCAGAAAGGCAGGCCCCACTCTTCACTGTATGGCATTATATCAAATTCCTGTGGCCTCTTTCCACTCTTATTATCAGGATTTTAATTTCTGGCATCTCAGTGATTGCCTGTACCAAAGCATTGTAATTGTGTGAGGACACCAGATCCAGAAGATGAAAACACCAGAAGCATTATCTGCAGAATTTGAATCGTGTTGGTCGTCACAAAATGCAGCTAAGTTTTGTTTTCACCATTACAACCTCTGACCTTTTCACTTTCAGCATCATCCCCTCACACCAATCACAGGGCTTCATAGCAAATACATTCTGTTCCTTTTTTCCTGTGTTCCATGTCATCCTGTTAGTTATTTTAATTTCTTTTTCTTTTTACAGGACTCAGGCTCATACCTCTGTGTTGTAGATGACTGTAATGAACATATATTGTCCATCTGGGACACAGCCAAAGGAAATAAAATTGCAGAAACAAAGGTGTGTATCTGTGATATGATACCAGTTTTGAGAGTACGAGTACTGATACTTGCCGAGTACTTACAAGTACGAGTACTGATACGTTTTTGTTTATTGTCATGTGACAGTTTTTCTAACACAATACAGACTGGTGATTTCAGGACAGTAGTGGAGCACCAGAGCCCGGTCCCAGGTGCAACCGCTGCAACCCTGGTAGTTCTCATGAAAATTGCCAAGTATCAGCACTGGTACTCGAAAAGTATCTGTGCATCCCTACTTACAACCATCGCACAACGAAAGTCGTGCGATGGTTGTAAGGTGTATGGCCACCTTTAGCTGCTCTAAAGTGGCACTGCGACAGAATAAAACCTGACCCTGATCACTTCTTAATTATGTGTGTGTTTAGAGTGTAAACCTTTCACCTCTGCAGTAAAACATCTGTCTCAGAACCATGCAAACAGTCACCCTTGGATGCCCGGGAATTGGGCTGTGCAGGTCTGTAAACTTGTTACAGGAACTTGGCTGAAGGAGAGGCAGCCTAATTTGTAAGTAATTATGTCACTCAAGCTGGGTTTACATTTCAGATTTTATCCGATTCTGTGGGAATCTCACAAAAGTCGATCCATGAGTAGCCCTATCTCCTTGAAAAAAAGGATCATTAGATTGACTCTTGGCGAGGGGAAATGTTGGAAAATTCTCAGGTAAGCAGTGCTTGCAGCAAATCAGCTGCAAGCACTGTTTAGGTATTCAGACAGTGGAGTGCGCCGCTGTCAGAATACAAAGGACACATCTGGAGATTCCTCCATCCGCAATGCAAGGGTTAAGTGCTCATTTTTGCCTAGGGTGTAAAATAATGAAGCTATACTCACCTGAACCTCGGAGTCGGCTGACAGTTAGAATGCTCCCTCAAGCCTGTCTCCTCCCCTGCTGTAGCAATGGTAAGTCCCTTGGCATCTTTACGATCAATACTCAGTGTATTTGGCGTGATGACTCAAGGATCCTTAGACCGCTGGGGGAGAGAGATTGAAGGTTCAGGGGAGTATAACCTTTTTATTTTACACCCAAGATGAAAACTAGCACCTAATCCTTGCAGTGCGGGAGTAGCCTTACTGTAAGGGTTAAGAATAATTTTTCCAGGAGTTCTTCTTTAACTAGAAGTTGAGTAGAAAATAATATTTATTTATTTTGCAGTTTGCCGCATCTTAAGTTGCACAGCAAATCACAGGAAATGCCTGTGATCTGCATGCAACAGCCACAACGAATTATATTGTAACAAAATAGTTACACAGAGCGGAATTTATCAAAACTGGAGCAGACAAAATCTGGAGCAGTTGTGCATGGCAGCCAATCAGCTTCTCTCTTCAGTTTGTTCAGTTAGGATTTGAAAATGATAGAGAAAAACTGATTGGTTTTTATGCACAGTTGCTCCACATTTTGTCTCCTCCAGTTTTGATAAATTCCCTTCATTGCATGTATCTATGAGCACTGTAACCAGTTGTCATTCTTGCAGTTTCTGCCAGTTTCAAACAGCTTTCTGGAGCAGAAACAACATAATGCATGAAAGCAGCCAACAACCAACAGTTTCTAACAACACCACGAAACAACGGAAACTTTGGTAGACATTGACTTACAATTGCCCTTTGTATAGCCAGTATTACAGTGACCACTGAAGAAGGAGCCATTGTCAAAAGCTCTTGTTCTGGCTGAAAAAGCATACTACTAGATATGTCATGTGATGTGATCATACTTTTGAAAAAACTATAAGGGTTTGGGGGCAATTTAATGTTTTCAAGTGCGCAAGTTCTCAAAGGAATGTTTTCTTTTTTGTATTATTTACAAAAAAACATTTAACATGGCATCATTGTCACTGGTATGAAATGGGTTTTCTAAACACAGATCCACAGAGGACACAGGTCCTTTCTAACTGACCGTCTCTAGTTGAAGCTCTGTACAGAATTATACAGACTGAGCCTCCATAAGTCACGCATGGGAATGTGCACAAAATCACTCATTTACACAGCGCACATAAAATGTGTGCCGTGCTTGCAGTGCCATTATTTGTAAATTTCATCCCAAGAACACAAGAAAAGTGTGTGAAAACACACAAAGCTAACAGCTCAAATTGCTGCATGAACTTCTTTGTCATGTTTTTCATGCATAAGTCCCTATGATGACGCGTGAGAACCGCGCTGCAGGTTCACACACGTGGCTACTTTTCATGGGAGCTCAGAGCAGAGGGGGAAGGAAGGGGGATAAGCCACTTGTCCAAGTGTGTAATCTGCACTTCAAATATTGAGGCCTGTAAACAAAAGGCACGCTTCAGCAAAGCGATTAAAAAAGAACTAAAGCCAACAGTTTTTTTTTTTTTGCTTTAGTTCTCTTTGAGTCATAGGAATACATTTGCAAATGTACTCCTGTGACCCAAACTCAGAGCATATAGCTGACTACTGCCCATTATATGCTGACAGCACAAAGCAGCGCTGCACCCGGGAAAGATCCCGACAATATTGTCGGTAAACACCCTGCTGCCTGATTGACAGCTGGCTCTGCTTCTCTAGAGCCAGAGCCAGCTATGCCCACCCCTTCCCCTATCTGTTTCTCCCATGGGCTCTGCAGGTAGGTGAAATCCCAGCGAGGAGCGGTGACTGACAGTCACTGCTCTCTGCCAGGAGAAGACCATAAGCTGAGTGATCAGTGGTCACACAGTCGCTCAGCTCTCAATCTGAAGAGCCGGTGTGTTGACAGATGCAATGGCAAAGGAACCTAGAGCAGCACTTGTTGGATAGAAATCATAAATATTAAATATCCCAGTGTAGTATTCCATATATACTTTTTTAGTTTAATAAAGGCAGCATGCGCAAAAACACAATAGGTGATCTACAAGGGGTTAAATGACAAAAGTTTTGGAAGGTAAAAGACCACCTATATACCTGAGTAATCTGAGTACTTGGCTCGAGCTACCCTTTAAATGAAAGCCTTTTATATTTATAGTGTACAAACGAACCAGTTCTTTGCGTGGCCTTCAATCCAGTGGACAGCAATTATATTGTCACCGTGGGCAAGTCTCACATTCACTTCTGGACCTGGAGTGGGACGTCGCTTACAAAGAAACAGGGGATTTTTGGGGTATGTTTGTTCTGTGTCCTCTTGAGAGGCATTTTGCTTTTTCCCACTTTAATTTCTCATTTGTTTATAATTGTCTTGCTGTCTCTGTTGATTCTTTTCTCCATTTAGAAGTATAAGAAGCCTCGTTATGTGCAGTGTTTACTATTTGATCGAACTGATGTCCTCACAGGAGATTCAGAGGGACAGATATTGACCTGGGGAAGAAGCGCAGCCGATACAAGGACTTTAGGAAAAGGTGCAAAAGGTGAGATCTGATACATTTACTTTTGTAGGATATCCTTTCACAAAGCATATGGTATTTAGTTCATTTTAAAATCTGTACTGTGAGTTTTATTGATACAAAAAATGTGAAAACTGGGATAAAAATATAGTTAGGGCCATGGCAGTGAAAGGGTTATTACCCATTTGGCATTAGATGTTAGATGCTCATTAATTGGATTTTCCAGGATGTAAATTGTGCTACTAGAAGAATAGCAATGAGCATGTTCAGGCCCGGGTTTCCCACAATAGTGTGGAACCTGGCCTTGGAGCAGCAGGGAGAGTAAATACGGCCCTGAGCATGTTCTATGTCTGGAAGAGAAGGTCCCTTTATATTATCACAAGAACATTAGAGCCTGAAGCAATGAATGTATTTTACTCAATATTATGTTAAAAGTGAAATCAGAAATTTAGGAATGCAGATCTGTCTACCTGTCCTGTGACTCAAATGGTATTTAAGTCAGAGGTCAAGCATGACAGCCAAACAGTAACTCATCCTTGCAGTAGGGCTACCCTAAGCACTACAGGAGTAAAGTACTCATTTTGTTTAGTGGACTTAAATAAAGCTGTATTACTCACCTGACCCTTGGTCCGGACTACTCGACTGGTTCCCGCAATCTCTTCTTCCCTGGGCTTGGGAGGGGGAGAGAGGTGAGTACCCTCTGCCACAGGACCGAGGATCAGGTGAGTAATACAGCTTTATTTGAGCCTCCTAGACAAAACAAGTACAAGGGAGAGTTTCTGAATTTCTTTTCTAAGAATAGCAAAAGGATTTGGGTAGGTTTAAAAATGTAATATATTGAAGCTTGACATTCCTTTGATGTGGCGGCTACATTAGTTATCATTTTTCAAGCTAAGAACATTTTCAGCAAACACAGAAAATAGCTGTTGATCTAACCAGAAATGCAGTGTGCTTGTCACATCCTGTGAGCTGAACTGAAAACGCAAACAATGTTACCGCTCTTCTGTAAACTACTAATCCCCCAAGTAATGGAGATTGAGGGAGAGAGACATGTTTAAAGTCCAGCCTGGGAGACAACCATGGCTCTGTCAGTAGATACAGTGTATTGGGTAACAGGGGCAGGAAGCGTGTTATTTGCAGAGTTACAAGGTGAAAATAAAGGGGAAAGAAAAGCTTAAAGAAAGCTGCAATATATAAAATATTTGCTTTTGGGTTTAGATATGCTTAGGATTTTAGGGTTAGGTCAATGATTATGTTAAGTGTTAGGTTGACTATACACTAATATAGTAGATCACAAGCTGAACAAAAAGAAAATCTAACAGGTTCCTCATACACCCTACACAGCATAAATGGATGAATCTCCCACTGCCAGCTATATACCCAGACAGTTCCTGCATCTGATTGTTGAGCGCAGGGGTGCCAGCCATGACTTGAAATGTACTATTTGGCTTTAGTGGTTAGGTAAGGGATTGATTTAAGTACAAGTGTCTGGAAAAAGTGTGGGTCAATCCAAAAACTTATTTTTTTTTAGTCTTACAGGGTTCTCCTCATTTATATTCTGGTACAATGTTGTCAGTAGGACAGGAAGTGAGGTTAAATCTCTGCAATAAAGTAATGGATAGCACTACAAACCCTACAGTTTTGGTTGAATTTTAAGGCTAGGTTAGGGGTTAAAGTGTATCTATGGTCCAAAGTTGTTTTTTCATTTTGATTGCAATAGGAAATCTTTAAAACCCCAGTATCTTTTTTTTGCTTGGTGATGGCAAGATTTTCCTTCACTGTTCTGGACACATAACAGGAAGTTGGAGATATTATTTGCACTTATTGTTCAAATATAACAAAACACTTTCAATTGCATATCAAAAGAGAGCAAATAAAAGAAGTTACTTTATAGGCAGGGCCGGATTTTCTCTGTCTGCTGCCCCAATGCCAGGTTCCGCAATGCGCCCCCCTGTATGCAGGCTGCATACAAGTGATCTCTTCCGAGATCTCTTCTACAAAACAAGTGGTGGCTTCCCCGCTGTACATTTAGCCCTGCTTGCCCAAAGCAGGGTTAAATGTAGAAAACAACTACCTGCCCAGCGCCTGGAACTGCATGTCCCAGACACCGGGAGATAGGAATTCCACACCTCTGCTGCCTCTCTACTCCCTGCTGCCCCGAGGCCGGGCCTCGGTTAGCCTTGTGAGAAATCCGGCCCTGTTTATAGGGCTTACATAGATAAAGTGGTAAGGATAAGTTTCACATCAGGAGTTTGTCTGTACACATTTTTATTTACATTTCTTTAAGCCAAACCCCAGTTATAGCCCAACTGCAGCCAAAATAGTTTTTTCATTTTGGATAGATTTGGAAAGCTAGAACTTTAAATAACCCGGAGATGACCCAGGCGAGGGTTTTTCATGTTTCTCCCGCTGGCAGGAGATTACATTTTTATTTTATCATTTGGATGTGATTAAAAACAAGAGCGAATAGTCCAAGATCTGAAGATCATTAGGTTAAGATAATAGTCAAACTCACGATTATAGAAGACTGGTATTTGATGCTCAAGCATGAAACATAACTATGCAATATTATCATAAACAGAAGTCTATGATGACAGCAATATGCTTTGTAAATATAGCTTTACAACCAAATTATTACACACACTTCCTTCCTAAATCCTAAGTACAATCCTCATTCTCTGTTCATCAAGCTGCTCACTGCCAATCCTACAAATACAAGTGGATGAGAGTAACAAAATAGAAATGCACAAAACATAATAAACCCTTCATTACCCATACAGTTCCACAAGCTTGAGGTAAAGTAGAACAGTTTTCTGGGATGGTCACATCTGCTGTAAAGTTACTACCAATAGCAAATGTCCAATTACATTTGACGTGTAGATAAAATGTGTGTGTTGCAGTAACTCATGGTAAAATCCATGTCTACTGCTCACTACTGCTATACACGGTAAAGCATTTTTAATGCCACTGCAACGAACCTTGTCAGTGCACCACAATGCATGTGCATTTTAGTGCGCCACAGCACGCAGAAGTGAACCATCTGTACGCTGTAGTAGGCTGCATTGAATAACAGTCCAATAATACCACATTGCGGTGCACTGGCAACGACTCAAAATAAATGTGCTGCCTTACTGCAATGCATGTTAACATGCATGTGGATCACTCACACAAAAAAAATCCGGCCGCACACCACAAACTTGGCTGAAGATCAGTGATTGAGCCCATGACTGGGTGAAACGTGTCAGAGTGAAGAGAATCCATGGTGGGACGATGTGTACCTGTGTGCTATCATAAATTCTTCAGCAAAGTTTACGGTGGGCCTTTTTTTCCGTAAATAATTATGGATGTTGCAGCGGGACAGGCTCGGCCTGTGTGCATCCGCCATTCTCTCGGGTGCTGCTGTGAAGGAGCAGTTATGCTGGGTTATGGAAGGTAGTTATAACGTGCATTTGGAAAAGCATCGTGTCTGAATTAGCTCAAAGTAATTGCCCAATTCAGCCTTATATCCTGGTTGTCAGAAACTGATAGAAAAATGGCAGGTTATGGAATGTTGTTATAAACAAAACATTATATTAACAGCGTGCAAGATGTGAAGCATATCTAAACCCAAGAGAAACAATTTAATATATAGCAGCTTTCCAATTCTTAAATGTGGTGGCTGCATTAGTTTCTATATTTAAGGCTTCTTTTTTTTTATTGTCACTCTATGGAAGAGCAATGGAGTCACCCTTGTACGGCAGCATTGCATCCCGAGGACAGGGTAGTGTTAGATGGGCTAGCAGATTTAGATGAACTTGACTAAGAAATTAAATCTGAGCTCCAGCAAACACTCTTTAAGCAGTTGCAGCAACAGGTTTATTTATTTTTTCCTTTTTGGATATGCTGACCATTGTAAACACCCCTGTCAGTGATAAATGGTTGCTACATTTGCTGGACAGCTTAGTCTGTTAAAGGAAGTTCGAAAGTAACAGACTTACTGGCCAGGTCACCAGGAGGTAGTAAAGGAAAAAAAAGCCTAAATAAGAAAATTAATGCAGCCATCACATCTAAGGATTTGGTAAGTTGCAATACATTACATTTTTTGCTTTTGGGTTTAGATACAATTTAAGTCAATTTTATTAGTTCCTGCAGTCACCCAATATCAGTGAATTACATCAAACACATCAGCTAATTTAGCTAAGTCTGGTACAGAAGTATTTTTGGACTGCAGTGAATAGGGTGATCAAATCTGTTTGGAGTCCAACCGTATCTAGATAACTGTGCACTTGTCATCTTTATCTCTGTTTGTTGGACAGAGCCAATACTGAGAGTCCTTTTACTAATCTTTTATTTGAATTTTCTCCCCAGACACATACCAGATATTACGCCACACACGTGCCCATGATGGTAGTGTATCTTCACTTACTGCTCTCAGAGGGGGATTTGTCCTTAGTTCAGGAGGGAAGGACAAACGTTTGGTGCTATGGAGTGACACATTGACCCAACTCAAAGAATGTGAGGTGAGAAGGAAGAAAAAGTCCTAAGTAGTATTACCATATACCCCCTCACAGCATTGACTACATTACAGTGACTACACATTGGGATATTAAGAACTGCAAGCATTGCTTAGCAGTATAGCTAAGGGTGTATGGAAAATCAGATGTTTAATTTAAAAGCATACTGGACACAGCAAAAGGCTTGCTTTATTTCCCCTCTGCCCAGCAGCACATTCCGCTTCCTATATACCCCTGCTGTACCATTCAGCCACCCGGGGTCAAACAGATCCCCCAATACACTCAATACTTCCAGGTATGGAGGAACTTTAGAGTCAGTCCCCTTCATCTCACAGACAGTGCTGCCAGTTGTCGATTGGCCCACTGCTGTGATATTGGGGCGAGGAGACAGTCTTCAGCCCTGCGTTCCAAGTTTCCACTAAAGTGATTTGGCACCTACACAAGATTTTGCTACTGGCTCATGGTGACTGAACTGAACAGAGGCATAAGAAAGGTAGGTATATGCTGCCAGCTAGGGTGGTATTAAAGTGAACCTGCATTGACAAAGCATTTTAACTTTTCAATACTAATTCTACCTACAAGTGAAAAACCAATGTTGAGTGAAATCCATTGTGTTTGGAGCTTTCTGCAACCACTTCCAAGTTTATGTTGCTTCCAATAAAATTGCTTCTTGAAACAGTGGTGAGCTTTCCCTTGACAGTGGTTTTCAATAATGAGGTCTTTCTTATTATGGTTTTGTGAAATGGTCACCTGACAGCTGACATGTAACTGAGATAACTGTGTGGGGAAAAAAGATACTGCTGGGAGGAAAGGTTATTTAAAATATTAGGTTCCAGCAGCTGGATGGCTGCACTTTCTAAATTGCCTCATGGTCATTACAATTGTTAATTGACGCCTAATGTAGCAGGTATTTCAGCAGAGATGCACCAAAATAGCTTTGTTTCCTGTCTTACATTGCCAGGTTGCCAGGTCTTCTAAAAATATTAGCATGATCTTTTATAATGCATGCAAATCTACAAATGAGGAAATCCATCTAACATAATTACAGCTGTACTCCAGGCAGATGCAGATGTCACAAGTGAATGCCTTAAATGTATTTTTCCACATACAAGCAGTGTTAGTACCTGAATTTGACTAGGTATTAACCACTGTACAGCAGAGTTCAGGCTGAATGAGAGAAGCAGCACAAGAAGCCAGACAATTGTGTTGCAGTGCTCATGTCCTAACCATGAATGTGCTGATAGGAGGAGAGAGCAGACTAACAGAGAGATCAGATGTCCTGCTGCTTCTTTTTTCACTGTCCAGTCCCAGATTGGGGGAGGGACAAGAACTATAAGTATTACTTAACTGCAGAAGAGAAAAAAAATAGATATCTGCCCTGCTAGACAGAGCTGTGCAGTGTGGCAGAACTGTGTAAATCATAGAAATGGACGAACAGAAAACCTTTGGAAAAAGTTCCCATATATGTATATCATCTGCATATTTAGCCATTTGCCTGGAGTTCAGATTTCAGTAAAACAAGTCATAGCAAATGTTTGTTGGTTCAGAATTCAAAATCATTCATTGTAAGTGCGCATAAGAGCATGTTAAGAACCGATACGAAATCTTCAGTTTCATTAGAAAAGCTTAGAACCTGATGTCAGTTACTGCATCACATGACTTTATTGTCTTACACAGATTTCTGAGCAGTTTGGAGCAGTTCGTTCCATTGCTGAAGGCGTGAATGGTGAATTATTGGTCGGTACAACAAAGAATGCTCTTCTGAAAGGCTCATTAGAGCATGGATTTACTCCTGTTATACAGGTTTGTACAGTTCATTGCCATGTCTTTCTATGCAGGTCAAAGAGAACTGAGACTTTTGAAGTTCAATAGAAAAATAACATGATCGCAGGTGGTTTGAAAATGTTGCAAACATATTAATATTATTCAAAACACAACAGATATAGAAAATAACTAAACTATGAAAAATCACAGGACTTTGTGGAGATGGGGATCCTGAACAGTGCTCAAGAAATAATTTTATTATGAAAATTAATTCTATTTAATAATTTTATTAAATGAAATTTTTTTAGTTTTTCCTGTTCAACAATTTTATTGAAGTTTTGTGGAAATACCAATAAAAAGAAAAAAGTACAAAAGTCCGATAAGGAGAAAGATAAATCAGTACATAAAAGTGGAGCTGTAGTACATACAGATAAATCAACCAGGTGAACAATAGGGTGGGTCTTCGGAATAGTGAAAAAGATCAGAGTACAGATCTTAGGTCTCCAGGTAAATATAAATCGGGGAGAGTGTAATGTCCATTATAAAAAGGCTGTTGAGATCCAGGCCGTAACGAAAGTATTTTATTGGCAATCGGACTGGAATATAAAAAAGGAGAAGAAGGGGTAGGAGGGGGGAAAAAAAAGAGAAAGGGAAATAAAATAAAACTAGTGAGGAAAGTGAAGAGTAAAGGAAATGCGAGAGTAGAGAGAGGGAGGACAGAGAACAGGGTCCCAGAAGCAGTATACACTGAGTGGCCAGATTATTATGACCACCTGACGTTTGTAGACAAATTAGCTATAATTAGCTATAATTTTGCGCTGAAGTTGCTAGAGGGCCAGACCATTATAAATAGGGAAGCAGGTTGTTTACCACGACAGTAGAAGTGATTTTTTTTCTGAAGATATGGGTAAACAACGCGATTTAACAGCCTTTGAACGTGGGATGAATGTTGGCGCTCGGAGCAATGGAGCGAGTATCAAAACAGCAGAATTTGTTAAATGTTCAAGAGCAGCTGTTGTTAAAGTGTTTAAAGACTGGACTGTCAGCCGAAAATCTGGGTCTGAACGTGCGAATTGTGGCCGTCAGCGACTAGTCAATGTTAGGGCAGAACGGAGAGTGGCAAGACTGGTACAAGACAACAGATAGGCAACAGTGCAGTGTCAGATTCCTCGCATCACCTTTCAACATCTCGTGGAGTCTGTCACGCTTGCTGTAGTTGCAACGTATAGGATCACAACTGCGGAGTGTAGTAGAAGGGTGGTGAGTGTAGACAGCTTCTCAGGCTTGAGTCCCAGGCGTCACTCCCAATCTTTAGCGGGGAGTTTGGGACTCTAGCATCACAGCCGTATGAAACAAAAAGGGTTAATGCAGAGCTATTGCGTCATAGCCTGGCGTTACTAGTAATGAACTGAAAACAGCAGGTAGAGGTTGCACGTTTCTAGGAAGTGGGTTGCCACTTAGATACGGGTATGCCAGAGGATTCCCCCCAAGAGCAACAGTTCAGTGGTAATGAAAGACAGTCTGTAGTATACACAAGGCTTAACGAGCAGAGACTCAGTTTAAGGCTCCCACGGCAGGGTACTTGCATTTTGGTGATCAGTTAGGGGTGCAAGGTGCAGGTCCACAGGCTGAGCAATAGGGGTCCTTTCCAGGCAGTCCTGAAGGTCTCTGAGGTTTGGTTCGGGTGGCAGGAGGCAGCAGGCGTTCTGACTCCAATAGTGGAATGCCATGCTGCCTCAGCTGGGGCTTTAAATAGCCCAAGGACGTGGGAGGAGCCAGCCGCCGGAACAAGCGGCTTCCGCGTTCCACCGTGGAAACGCAGGTCGCTCGCTCCACAATCAGGAAGTCGAGCGGCTTCCGCGTTCCACCGTGGAACGCAAAGCGGCAGTCCCTGCAATTGGAGAGACCGGAGCGGTCTGACCCCTCGGGACTCGTTACAGAGTCACGAGGTGGCCCAACGAAGTCATCTCATGGAGTCATCTCGTGGCCCAACGAAGTACTGATGGGGGTGGTCATAATAATCTGGCCACTCATTGTATATCAATAGGGTTGATCGGTTGTGGAGAGACAAGGCCTGAAATGAAATTTTATTATGAAATGAATTCTATTTAATATGACTGTGCAAAGAGCATTGGTGAGCAAAGTGCAGTAAAACTGACCTAAAACCATTACAGTTTTTCTTTAAAGTCTTGAACTTGCAAACTTTGTTTAAATCCTGAATTCAGATCAAACATATACATTGCCCAAAAAAGTATTTACATTTTTACCCAAACACTTGCAGTCACCATGTTTCCAAACTGCTGGCTCCAACTCTCTCAGCTCTGCTTCCCTGAACTTCCAGTTCAGTACAAGCTCACAAGGGACAGAGCAGTCTCCAGCAACTGCTCATCTACTAGCTTGGAGAAGATAGGATGGAGGAGCAGGGGACAGCAGAGTGACTTGCTCCTGTTGGGCCTGTGTGTTTGTGGAGACAAACACAGCTTACTAGCACACACAAGGGTGGTGCCATAGGACCCTGCAAGGCAAATGAGCCATTCTAAAACATGATTTCAGGACCAGCTTATTCTGCAGGAAACTAAAACTTCGACCTCAAGGAGCAGCATCCATTGTAACTAGTTTAATCAACATTTGAAATAGCTTAAAAACCTTTTGACTTTAATATTACTCTAAGGGCCTGTTCACACCAGGTGCGTTGGGCAACCTTGTCCAGCTCAGTCCCATAGCAAAGACAAGGCAATCTGCCATGTTTACAATCAGCGCACTTGACACATGAATTACTTTTTCTCAGAGCAGCATGATGTGATGCAATCCATCATGTCATACTGTACTGCAACCAACAGAACTACCACTTTGTGACATTTCAATAGTTCTAACAAAAAAAAGATTACAATGTGATGCTATCGCACAGCAACCCACCAGCGGGTATGTGCTAATGCAGCTGTTGGTGGCAACAGGCCCTAAAAGAATTTGACATAAATATCTTTTGCAATGCACTGGTTGGCATGTGTTACTTTAGATATTACTCTGTGGATATATGGTGCTAATGTCTAGGAAATAACAAATAGTATTTGGCTTTGTGTTTAGAACTGTTTGAAATCCAGTTGGTTTCAAATGTGTAATAACGATAAAGTCTGCACATTTACCTAAACTAACTGTATTGGTTTTATTCTGTGCCATTAAATAAAACTTCAATTCCAACAAATAAAACCTGTGTTTTCAAGCTGTTTAATAGCCACGGCCTGATTGCAAAATTAGCAAATTCAATGGCATGTAAACCATAATGTAATAGTGTTTAGTTTCAAAAGCACTGTGAATCCCAAACAATTGCCATGTTTATAAAATGAAACACTGTACCCAGGGCAACT